CACACCCATCCACCAGTCACCTTGGTAACCAGACACACTGCTTTCGACTGGTTTCTAGCTTCAAAGGCATGCTCATTTTTAACATTTTGAACTTTGTAAACACAGATTTAAGAGTCCTTAACAACCAATATTAAGTCTCTCAACATTACATTACATTAGGTTACATTACATTAGAACCCTAAGGCACTTGGCCCCTGCCCTGAAACAAGCAACATTGCTTCTCTTCCTTGCCTGATAAAGCTCCAGGCTGGTACAGCTCTTTGGTTCCCTCCCTTTTAGGGGCCTGTGAGAAGTAGTAAGAGCACAAAGCAACAGTTTCTCCCTGTTAAATAAACTTTTAAAGCCTGCAGAGGTCCAAGGAGATTTGTGTTGGGTTTGCTTACGTTTTCACTAGTCTTGCTTTAAGCTGTTTTCCCATTTTCTCCCAAGTATGTAAATTTACAATTCCTTCTTCTGGAAACAAACTCAAGAAATTTAATTGGGCTGGAGATTTAGCTCAGTGGCATAAGCTCCTGCCTGGCAAGCACAAGGTCATGAGTTCGATTCCCCATAGGTGGGAGGGAGAGAATACAAGTGTGTACCACCATGCCCAGTTCTTCTCAGTTTAGGCCAGTGATTTAGCTCAGTGGCACAAGCACCTGCCTGTCAAGTGTGAAGTCATGAGTTTGACTCCCAGTACCAAAAAAAAAAGAAAAGAAAAGAAAAGAAAAGAAATTTAGCAAGATGTGTAGTGTCAATGAATTGAAAACTAAAATTGACTGATTGAAGAAAGCAAAATAAATAAATCAATTTTAAAATCCTAAACAAATATAGAGTTACATTGAATGTGACTGTGAAGCAAGTAAGCCTGAAATCAATGATTTTGAAAAACAACAGAGTTTGAGAATTTACCCTACCAGATAATGGAGACTTACTGCAGAGTCACAGTGAGACAGTGATATATTGGAGCCAGCCTATTACCAAGGCGTGAAATCAAATGTTGACTTTTTAGAAGTTTTAGAGGTCACTTGCTGTCCCAAGAAGCTTATGATTATTAAGATCCTGTCTAAGCCAAATCCACCACAAAAATGTAAATACTAGAATCAAACACAACCAACAGTTCCATATACATCTGTGACTCCTTAGAATGTATCTGCCCCATATCTAACAATTGTTAAAATCGATACATTTCCTTGTGCTGCTTTCTTGTAAGCCAGTTTTCCCTTTGAATTCTCTTAAGCCTGTTTGTCTATAGCTCCTCTCAAGCCTAAGTCTTTAGCTTTTTTTTTTTTTTTCTGGGGCGGGAAGGGGTTTCTCTCAGGCCTGTTTATGATAGTATTTTTTTTTTTTTTTTGTCTTTTTTGTTTTTATCAGTACCAGGGATTGAACTCATGACCACACACTTGTAAGGCAGACGCTTATGCCGCTAAGCTAAATCCCCAGCCCCTCTCTGGCCTGTTTATAACTAGCCCTAGAATAAGGGCTTTTCAATGCTCCACTCTTTATAGCTGATGAAGCCAACATCAATAAACTCCAGTGATGACTAATGACCTATACCAATGCACTTCTCCCCCTAGGTGTGCGCACATGAGAAGTGTCCCCTCGCCCTCAATCTCTCAGCCCGTCCTTCTTCTGGCACCATATGCCGTGACCCAAGGTGGCTTCTGAGGTTCTTGGGGTGAAGGACCGCATAAGGATGAAAAAAATAAAGAAAAAAAAAAAAAAAGACAAAGCTGGGGTCAGGTGAAGCCCTTATCCTCCTGATGGGAGGAAAGGTACCGCTCAACCAACGCAGCATGTTGGTTTATATGCTTCCTTCCCCAATCTCATAAGCCCCTCTAGGTGTAAAGGCCTAAAAGCATAATTATGCCATCTGTCTTTTTCATTACAACACAACAAATAGCTAACACAACTTTTACTCTTACCTGGTGTTTCTTGAGATAAAATTTTCATGCTATATTACAGAACATCACCAAACACACACAACTTGTTATCTTTCTGGACCCTACCCCTGAACTGCACTCAGTGAGTGGGTGTGGAAATGCTGGAATTTCAAGATATCAGTAAAAATCTTGTCACTGTAGTAATAATCAACAGGCATCTTCAAACCTCGTGGGGTTGCTTTGAAAATGCACTGTTGGTAGCAGAACTGCCAATAAATAAATAAATAAGAAATAAAAAATAGCCTGGTACCGATAAAAGGAAAAAGACAAAAAAAAAAGTACATATGTCTTCAATAAAAGGTGTGATACATAAAAACAGCACTCATTTTCAACAAAACATGTCATTCACCACTCACAATGAATAAAAAAAGGGTCAAGTCAACCACAGTAATCAGGAATATTCTGCTAACATCTCCTTTGGCATTAAGAAGCCTAACTGGGGGCTGGGGATTTAGCTCAGCGGCATAAAGCGCCTGCCTCGCAAGCAGGCTGTCCTGAGTTCGATCCCTGGTACTGATAAAAAGGAAAAAGACAAAAAAAAAAAAAAAAAAAAAAAAAAAGAAACCTAGCTGAATACACTATTCAGAGCCCCTCGTTTAAAAAAAAAAAAAAGTCATCATTCTATTGATTCATATATAGGTCGCTAAGTAGCTGTATTTAACATGACTACCTAGATCTTCACAACCTGGAAGGGAACCATTTTAAGTGGTAGTTTTGATACCAACCCAACCGAGTGTATACACAAAAACGTGGAAAGAATTTTTCTTCTTTTTTGTCTTTTGTAAATAACCACAATATTATGGATTAAAGAAAAACAGTTTGAAATAAGTGTAGCTCGGAAGGACATTCTGTCCTTGTGTACCGAACATTTCAAATTTAATTTTTTTTCTGCTGTTTCTTAAAAACTCACTTAGATGTAGGAAGATACAAATAATTCTGTTACATAAATATCAGTTCTACAGGCCTCTGCATCTATCAAAAAAACTTAAAAAAAAAAAAAAGAATGCTCAACAGTAAAAAACAAAAAGCTTAAAAAAAAAAAAACAAACAAGAGAAAAGACATTTTCCTCAATCAGAGGAGATGTAAATAAGAAAACGTGTCATGGATTGAAATTAATAATAAATTTGGGAGAAGAGCCTACCTTTTAAAAAGTGGGGATTGGGATAGTAAAGGAATCTCGGAAATTAAAAAAAAAATGATCAAAACTACCAATTACAAAGCACCAAAGGTGGGTGGGACAGAGGGGCTGGTGAAGATTTTCCACTGAGGGCATAGAAATCAAGGCTCAAGCTGGAAACATATTTCAGTGATTTTTTTTTATATATACCTTAAAGATAAAAGCCCTCACTCGATTATTTACAATCTCTTTATAAGCTCTACAGAAGGTAGCCACGTTTAAGGTAAAAAAAAAAAAAAAAATCATTTCTCAACAGCCATACTATCATCTCAAACGATCTCAGCATCACCTCTGCCAGTGAACTTTGGGGAGCCGTTTAAACCAGAAATCATCGAAAACACGTGCGTGCAGGGCTGCTGGCGGCAGGGCCTGGGAAAAATGACACCTGGCTCCGACCACAATTAAGTACACTAAGGCTGCAGTCATTTGCAGACTGGCATTACATTTCATCCCTGTGACCGAAACGCAACACGGAGGAGATTCTTCTAACACACTTTTCCTAGCCCTACTACAGTCTGTGACTCAGTAAACAACTCTCAATAAACCACTCCCAAGATCTGTTCAATTTTCTGCGTTTTCTAGTACTGTAGCCAACCCCCTAAGTAAATACAAACATTAAATAAATACATAAATACACAAATCGACAAGAGAAACTCCCCTCCCCCCAGTCTTGACACATAAAGCCATTCCCCAACTCGGCAGAGGGTTATTAGCTTTTTCACCCTAACCCTCCTGGATCTCTAAAATTCATACCACTTATCTCATGTACCGAACACTCCTCCGCGGCCGGCAGCCTCCGCCCACACTTTTGCGGGAGCCGGGCAGCAGAGGGAGAGCAGGAACGAAGGAAAGTGCAAGCAGCACCCACCCTAGGTAGGGCGGAGCCCGCACCGCTCTTCTCTGACAGCCGTCCATCCTTCCATCCATCCATCCACCGACCTCCACAGCAGGTCCGTGCGGGATCCGCCCGCCCCCATTTGCCGTGCCTAAAAAAGGTCTGCGACGACCTTTACGGCGGGTCGCGCAATCTACGACGTCCAGGCCGCGCCCTCACCCACTGCCCGCCGCCCCGCCCCCGTCCCCTAACACTAAAGCGGTAATCCTGACCCCCACCATGATGAAGGCTTTGGCTTACTTACTTAGGTGTTAGGGGTTTACTAGGGTGCGGTTCACGGACCGAGAGAAGGGGCACCGACAGAAAAGCACAGGTACACAGTCTAATCCCGTCTGTGGACTACCAAAGGTCACCATACATTCCTCACCCGTATATACGTTTCCTTAGGGATCGATTTCATGAGATCCAACCCACAGCAAACGTCACCGTTCGCAGGCCCGACACACGCAGTCTGATTGATATCGTCAACATTCTGGATTTCCAGTTTTTTCCCCCGTGTTTTTAAATTTTTGCAATCGAACGGCAAACGTCGCAGCACGCAGGCTCGAGATACAGTCCTGTCTAAGTGTATCGATAACCATCTCTTATTCCTGTGAAAAACTTCTGTACTTTCAGTCTTTCTGTCTCATCCTGCGTTCATGCGACCACACAGCGAACGCCGGGAATGGCAGGCAGGACCGACCCTCATAGGCGTATCTATGTATTTCTCTAACTCTACATCCATCTATATCAACGTCTACTTATTTATTCCTCTTTCCACCTATATTTTTATAACAGCATTTCGTATTTTTTTTTTCTTTTTATCGGTACCGGAGATCGAACTCACGACCGCCTGCTTAGCATTTTGTATTTTTAAGCTTTTTATTTTTCGTCTCTGGTTCATGCAATCGCACAGCAAACCTCGAGGCTCGCAGGCCCAGGACATTTCACGTTTTCCCATTGCTCTCTCAGACCTAACTGTTCACCGCGCTGCTACTTACTGACTGACTCAGTGCACACCAGTGATTCACTTAGTTAATGAGGTGGTCATTTTTATTTCTTTTTTGGAAGGGTCGGGCCAGTTCAAGCAGGAGGGCGGGCGGTCAGGTGCTGTCTTTAGCTACTAAAGATCTGCGAATTGAGGATCCATCCGCCCCTTTGAGGGCAGTCTAGGCAGAATCAATCGATCACCAGCTTCGTGGGGGGGACCTACGACCACACGGTGGCAACACCGGATACTTTTCCTCGTTCGATTGTCTCGTGACTCTGGTCGTCATGACTGACTGACTCACTCTGACTCGTCCAATGATTTACTCAATTCACTCCCCAGCAGCTTTTTGGGTGGTTTGTCCCTGTTTTCTGTTTGTCTCAGCATCGCTTTCACAGTTGCTGAGGCACTCGAGCCAGAGACAGCCCGAGGCTGCTCCCAGTCCCGTGTACAGTGGCCCTTCCCGGACCTTGTACAGCCTCCTCTGTTCTAAACTGCGGCATCTCACATGCTGGTCGTGGGGGGAGGATGCCAACTTCCCACTCCTTTTCCTTTTCCTCTTGAGGCTGCTCATGCAACTGGTTGCGGGTTGGGTGGCAGTGGTGACTTCCCACTCTGTATCCCTCCGTGTTGAGGGCCGCTGGTCACAGGGTAGGGGGCGTACTGTTTTCTGGACCCAAGATTGCTTGAATACCGTGTCTGCAATCTGTGTCCATCTCCTGCATTGGTCATTGGGCAGGAAGAGTCTTGCTGTTCCACTCCCTACTCTCTCTGCCATTGCCGAGGCCCCTAACCTTGTTGTTCCTAGGGGTTCCAGTTAGCTGCTAGGGTGCATGACAAATACAAAACAAAAAGAGAAACCAGCAGCCTGTCAAAGAGGGAGCAATTTCCCGGTCACTTGCCCCTGTGTGTGCTGGCAAAATTTGTTGCCAGGTTGTACTGCCCTCTGTTTGCAGGAAAGCAAAATAGGTAAGGGCCATCTATATAACCCAGATCTATCTTGTGTGAATTGTGTTTGCCACAGAATTGTAGTCTACCCGTTTTTTTATTTGGGGGGGGGGATGCTTTCCAGGAACGCGGATTCCTGCTCTGTGCAGGTAACAGACACATGGGTAGCCTGGTGGGCTTGATGATCCTTTTATAAAGTCCTTTGATCTCCAAGTCTACTTAAGATTGATTCTGACACCAGGACATATGTCTCTCCTTTTCTTCCAATTACCTTGTGTTTTTAGTTGATTTTCTCTGAGTAGCTCCAATGTGGCTCCTTCTTTATTCAGCTGTGTTGGATCCCCTCTCCTAACTTCTTCCTGTGGCTTATGACTTCATTTCCAGATGGTCCACAAATTCAGCACATTTCTAACAAGTCAGGAATTATATTTATTCTGTATCAAAGGGAAGGAGCTGTGGTACAGGTGAAAGCTGAGGCCCAGAGCCATGTTTACAGGCTTAGCCTCTATAAGGATCTTAAAATTTTTGCCAGTAAGGGAAAAAAGCTTGAATAAATTTTGTGTCCCGAAGCTGTGGTTTTCTTAAAATGTACAATTTTAACATTACAGCTTTCCTTGTCTGGTTTCTGTATTTTTTCTGTTGTACTTTGGCCTCTCACCAGGCCCAGTCACTTCCTCCCTCCCTGTAGGCTACCTTCTGGTGGAAACCAGATTTGCTGATGGGACCAGAGGTGGGCTCCTGGAGGGCTGGCCAGGACTGGGATGCTGTCCTTGCCTGACCTGGCAAGTACCTGCTCTTAGATAGCTCTAAGACCTGCCCCCTAGCCTCATACCTCCTGTTATTAGCACCCCAAACCTGTGCTGCCTGTACTGTGATGAACTCACTGACTAGGAAGGGAACCCACCTTCTTAGGCTGTGGCCATACATATGCAAACAATATGCACTGTGCTTCCAACTCAGTGGTGCTGCGTGACCTCCAACTAGCTCAGATTTTGTGGGCCTAGGCTGTTTGGAAGGAAAGGTGTAATTATTTGTACCTTGCCTAGTACCTAGTATACATTAGGTGCCATAAGAATGTTAAAAGTAAAACTTGTGTTCTCAGAAAATGGCACCCAAGACTGTCAGACTTCCTGGAGGGACTTGTTGCTCTCATTTGGCCCATCCCAGAAGGTGCACCTGGCCTTACCCCTAGAAAACAGAAACCAGACTGCAGGGGAGAAGAGCAAATGTGGTGTCCTCCTCCAGGGAATACAATTTCCCCAGCCCAGGTTTCTGCACCTCTCCCACCCAAGGACAAAGGTGCCCACTGGGGATGCAGTTAGAGCACAGAGGACAGGGTCACAGTACCCCTGAACTTCCTGAGGCCTGGGGTGGGATGGGACAGTGGCAACCACAGTGGGACACACAGGACAGACACACCAGGCAGGCGGGGCCTGGGCCTTGAGCTGCGTTGTGAGGGATGGAGATGGGCTGCACTAGCCCCGCTTGGCTAGCTTACATGGGGCTAGGATTGTGTCCCTGATGGGTCCCCCATTCCCGGGTCCCTGTGCCTAACTCTTAGCCTGACCATAGTCCCTGTATTATGGCAAGAAACTGTAACCTTTTCATATCTAATATATACAAGTGTGTGAGTCTTAACCCTAAATGTATAATTATTAGCTTTGAGCAGCACACATAGATGAGTTTTCCCCAAACCTTTGACATAACAAATATTTCTTAGGACACAGAAAGCACTAATCATATAAAAACAACAGTCTGGATATATAAACTTTAAAAATTCATTAAAGAATTAAAAAATAACATAAAAAAATCAAACAGCCCAATCAACAAATGATTCAAATAAGCACATCTCAAAAGAAGTACAAGTGACAATTAAGTATATGAAAGGCATCTGACATCTTAGCCAGTAGAGAAATACAAATCAAAGCTACAGAGATTTCCTTTCATCTCAGTCAGAATGAGTATTATCAGGAACACAGAAAACAATAAATGCTGAGCATGTGGGGGAAGAACTATCCTGCATTGCCAATGGAAATGTAAGTTAGGAAAACCACTATGGAAATCACTATGGATGTTTCTTAAAAAACTAAGAGAGCTGCTATCTGATCCAGCTGTACTGATTCTTGGTATCCAAAGGAATCAGCCTATTGTAGGCATAGCTGTATGCCCATGTTCATGGCAGCACAATTCAGAATAGTGAAGACATGGAACCAGACTAGGGAACCTACTCTTGGTTGCTGAACTCAGTTCATCCCAAAGTTGTGTTTAAACACCAAAAAGTTCAAGAACTAATGGACTAATGGAAAACCAAATAACTGTTTTTCAATCTTCCAAATTACTTATAAATTCATTTTTCCAGGACTTTAACAAATTTTATGATTTCTTTAATGCTATTGTGGTTCTCAGGTTTCCTCTTAGCTTTACTGCTGACATCACTTTCTTTGGAGCTACGGTTACAATATTTTATGCAAATAAAGTACAACAATGAGTCTTTTAATACATTAACACAAGCACTATGTATTATCTGAGAGAGAGCAGCACTTAGACTGAAGTGTCACCCCTCTGTGTCTCACTGCATGACTTACTCTCAGCCTACACAGGTTTTCTCAAGTTGGATTTTTGGTTCGATTATTGAGCAAAGTTACAAACACAAAACATTTTTTTTCCCCTGAAATTTGCCATTTGAGTAATGGAAAGTTCTAGCCTGGAGTTGTTTGACAATTGAGGTATCACTGCATATAAATATAAATATAAAATGGAGTACTATATGTTCGTAAGGAAACACAAAATTTTGTCATTTGCAGGAAGACTGACTGATCTGAAGACCACATTGAATAAAACAAGCCAGACTGGAGGGACAGATACGTGTTTTCCCTAATATATGTGTAATCCAAACAAGATGACAGGAAGTAGAAGGGAGACTATCAGAGAAGAGAAAGTGAATAAAGCAAAGGGAGTATAATAAAAGTAGGTAATGGGGGCTGGAAGTGATCAAAACACATGCACTCAAACAACGTGAAACTAGGGGGCAAGATGGGGCGAGAGGCATTATGAGGGGGTGAAAATTAGGTATGCTGTGTATGGATCAGCCAAAATGAAACCCATTAACCTGTATAGTCAATATGGACTGATAAAAAGATGCGAAGGAAAAACAACTTTTCTTTATTAAAATATAACACTGAGAAAGTGCACAAAAATCCTCTAAACTAGAAATATACATAATATTACATTTTCACATAATATTGCATATAGGGAAGCAATGAAATAATATTCCACTTACAGTATGAACAAGAAGTAAGATATTTCAATTCCAGTAATAATTCCAGTTTTTTTTTGATGAAATAAAAGGAAAAAATAGCCGGGGATTTAGCTCAGTGGCATATTCGTCTGCCTGGCAAGCCTGAGGTTGTGAGTTCAATCCCTGGAATCAAAAAAAAAAAAAAAAAAAAGGAAAAAATGGCTAGAAAGTTATACCTTATACCTTGTACTTGACTATAGCAGCTGTCATTAGGATGACAATACTAACTTAGTATTTTCATGTAAAACTAAGTTTTCTCAGGCTATGTTAGATAATGATTTAAAATTGAATCTCCAAGTCAAGCAGTCTGTTTTCATTTAAAGTTTATCAACTTTTTTTTGTTTGTTTGTTTTTTTCCTTTTTATCGGTACCAGGGATCGAACTCATGACTGCCTGCTTCCAAGGCAGGCGCTTATGTCGCTGAGCTAAATCCCCAGCCCTTATCAACTTTTCTTAATTGTGCATTTAAAAAAATCAGATTGGATTGGGTCAGTCAGAATTCTACAACTGGCCTTTTTTTAGTGGCTTTTCAAACAGACCTTCAGATAAAGGTTAAGAATACTGGAATAAAAATGAGGCCATGGGCAGCCCCAAATACCATAATAAGAAACATAACCTTAAAAATGTCCTGAAGCTGTGTGCTTGGGCAGCAGCTAAAATGTACACCCCTACTGCTGTTGAGGTTGCACTCTGTAACGCCGGGGAGCCCAACAGATGCAAGGCCTCCATTGCCTTTCCATTTGCCGAGGGCTCAGAACCGGAAACAAAAGCATAGGAAATGTGTGCAGAAAAATCCAAAGAAACCCCTATACAAATTACAAGGTTAATCATGGATAGGGAACTGAGATTGACCTTCCAGAATGCCATGAAACCTGTCACTTCCACAATTACAAAACTGACTGCATGTGTCACCAACAAGGCACACACTGGGTTAGGGATAAGCACCAAGGAGACCAGGAACATAGCTGCTGATGCAGCCATGACATTGCAAAAAGTGCTTTCCAGTACTCCCCCATACTGGTCAGAATATATGAGGTTATACACAAGCAAGGGACCTCACATTGTTTGGCTCCATCTGGTAACTGTTGTAACATTCACTTCTTTCTGACTGGGTTAGCAACATCTTAGTCCAAATGAAACCCTGGGGAGAAATGATTTCATTTGATGATGAAATATTACAGAAATATTGTCCATAAAAGAATTCCTATCATTAGAATCTTCACTGTTACCTTTCATATAGTGCATGTATGTCTGTAACCAAAACTCTGTAATATTTTTATCTACATACTTGTTTTCTTGAAAACCCACTACACATTTTTTCCAATTTTTGCCTTACATCTTCATCTCAGTATTTAACACTTTCAGTGACAACAACCATAACCCTGGGACATAATATGAAAAATAATCTTCCCTACATCATAATATGGTGTGATGTAGGAACCATCACTGGCCACCTTTCAAAGGCCCAAGCCTTTCTGCACTTATAACACCCATATATACTGCGTATCATGTACAAAATGTATGTCAGCACTATGAAAAACTTGGTCTTGGTGCGTGTAAGAAAAGGACCAAAATAGTCTCTAAAGAACACATTCATTGGGTGGACATCGGTTTCTGTCCATCTGTGACAGAACCAAAGGCCAGGCAGCAGGCCTTTTTTCATGAAGACCATTTTTGGTCTGGCTTTTCAACCACTGTAGGCAGACTACTTCTCTCTTACCATCTAGGGCCATAACTGCTCCAAACCAGGTGATGCTATAAAAATAGCAAAAAAGCAAGCTTATTCCTGTGTAGACACAAAAGTATGTATGGCCTTGGAAGAGCTCATGATCCCTGTATAGAAGGCCAGGACGTAGCTGACGGTGGTAATTGTGATGGACACTACCACATGTGTATAGGCCTTGGACATTCTCTTTCTTATGCTGTCCATGAGGCTGGTCTTCTGCCAGGCAGGAATCACGATGAACACATCATCAACACCAACACCTGTTAAAGAGGAACAGAATCTTCATACATGTTAATATATGTTAATGGTTAAGTAGACAGACCATTTTCTTTCTCTGTATCATTTATTCTGCATAATCTTTTTTTTAGACAAAGTCTCGCTATGCAGTTTGAGCAGGCCTTGAACTCACAACAATCCTCCTGCCTCAGCCTCCTAAGTGCTGGGATTACAGGCATGTACCATATCTGGCTACAATCTCTGCTTCAATACTATGTCTTCCATAATTCTTTCTCTTAGTTGCCTCTGAATTTACAACAGAGTTCATCAGGCCTTCCTCAGTAAAAAGTCTTAGTTTACATGCAGCATGGCATACTCTATTCCAAGTCTTTACTTGCCTACTATGAATTGGTTCCTTTCCACCATGAGATTTCCTGATTGGTTTGGAATAGAACGTAAGAACAGTTGAGGACTCTGAAATCACCAGTGAAGACTGGGAAAAAAGGAGACCAGGAAGGACAGTGTGAACCTGTTTCAGATAAATTGTGACTCCTTCAAACTTTCTGTGAGTGGACACACTTTCACTCTTGCATGCCTCTGCTTCCATGTACTGGTATCTCCTCAGTACTTGGAACTGAAATGTTGATCTTAACTTCAATTTACTTTTCATATTTTGGAGGTAAACAACTTTGAAGAAGTTAGGAGGGTACTGGGATTAGAACCTGGCCTCTAACTCCGACATGCCATGTGTGTGATCCGACATGCCAGGAGGTAGGAGGTGTACCTGGACATACAGCTGTGCAGCCTGCCACTCCCTCCACTCCCACACCCTATTGCTGCTGGCCAGGAGGCTTCACTCCTGCTCAACTGGGATAATCAGCTCTTGAACTGATATTTGTCAGACGTTTAAAAACTAATTTGGTTAATTATAGAAACTTTAATTGTCCTTATACATTTCTTGGCTAAGTTTTCAAAATCACACACACACTCTTATGTATGTACAGACCCCACAGAAATGGCTTATCATAAAACAGCAGCATATGCTTTAACTATAACTATTTATGACTTCAGGGTACACCCAGTGACTGTGTGTTCGGGGAGCTGTGCTCAGCAGGGCCAAAACAGACATCCAATCCACATGACTATCTCCTCTAGAAAACAAGGAACAGACTCTTCCAAGTTGCTTACTTTCTAAAATTAATGCCTTTGTTTTCTCATGTGCTCTGTTAAATAAACTCTGAAAAGTACCATGAAAACTAGGATTCCACTCCTCAGCGATGATTCCTATTAGGGCTTCAATGTATATCCATGTAGAATTTGTTCTACATAAACGTACACATAGCTATTTCTCTATTTCAAATGTTTTGTAGTCAGGAATTTTTATTTAATAGGTATATAAGACTGAATATCATTCCAATATATATATGGAATATCATTCCAATATATATATATATATATATATATATATATATATATATATATTTTTTTTTTTTTTTTTTTTTTTTGTCTTTTTCCTTTTTATCGGTACCGGGGATCGAACTCACGAATGCCTGCTTCCAAGGCAGGCGCTTATGCCGCTGAGCTAAATCCCCAGCCCCTGCAATATTTTACCTTTGCTACATTTGATTTGACAGATCTCAGCCTGATGTAATTGTTTCTGCCAGTTCCTCTCTGCCTGTGATCTTGCTTGATTGCGTGACCAGATTCTAAGAGAAATTGATGGGTCAAAAGTACTGTTTCTCTAAGTCTTTTGATTTGTTGCAAACTTGGCCTAAAAAATCTGTGTAGCAATTTACATTTTCCCACAGCATAATTAGAAGGGTATTAGGAGGGTTTTCCTTCGCACATAACCTTTTCCAAACCCCATCCGCTGGACTGAGTAAAAAAACAAGCTGTCACTTGTACTTTGATTTGTATTCCTTGATTTAATTGAGAGCTCAAATTATTTTTCTCAGATTTTCAGAGATTTCCATTGTTATGTGTGAATTATTATTTATGTTCTCTATTTGTCTGTTTGGGGTACTGGATTTTTCCAGCTCCAAAGACACATAATTGCATGGGATTTTCCTTTTTCCTGGCTCCTCACGTTGAATCTTTGCATCCACCTACAGACAACCCCTTCCCTCTATCTCATGTACACAATAATGTGCACCTTTGCATTTTTTGCTCAGCTAGAAGGAGAAATGGTGAATTTTTAACTATGGTCCCAAATGGTACTCCAATGTGCAGCATCAGACCAAAGCTGCTCACCATTGCCAAGACAGCAGAAGACACTCCTCAGACTGCAACCAATACTTTGCTACCTATGCAGCCCAATCTGTAAATTTTGAGGGAAATATCGTGGAATCTGTAGTGGCAGCTTCCTCACCGAAATTCCTGACCTGGACATTGGGGCAACAATTTCAACACTTGTCTGCTGGAGACTTTAAATTTCCAGGCACACTCTGAGATGGAATGGTAAGGATGGAAAAGCTAGTGATATATACTTTTACCAAACTTCTGGATGATTCCCATGCAGGGACCCAAGCACTAATCTACTGACTAGCATTTCAGAATCATAAAGATTTACTCAGTACTTGAGATGGGCACCTGCATTCGATATTCAGAAGGGCATGAATGGAAAATGACAGGAAAGGGAAGGGCTGCGTTGGTCCAGTTTCTGTTCCTATAATGAAATACTTGATGATGGATAATCTGTAAAGAAAAGAGGTTTATTTAGGTTCTGCTGTGGGGATCCAAGAGCATGATACTGGTACTGTGGCAGGCCCTGCTCATGGTGTCATAACCTGGTAGATGGCACCATGGTGGGAGAATGTAAGATGGAGAGAGCACCAGCCAGACAGGAAGCCAGACAGACTCAAGAGACTTGAACTCTCTATCACAACTTGCCATCACACAGCAATTATCCAGAGACCCACGAGAACTACCTAACTTCCCTTCAAGGGAGAAAGAACCTTATGACCTAACCTCTTTCCATTAGGCCCTGCTTCCTGAAGGTGTTACCATCTCCTCATACCACACTGGGACCAAGCCTGCAGCGTACAGACTTCTGGAGACACGCTTGGATCACACCCCGTCCACAGCAGAGGACCAGCAGTAGCAGAGACAGAACAGACCTAGTTACCTTCCTATCCACTCTGGAGCTCCAACTGGCCATGAACAACAACACAAATAGCCCTGCACTTCAAGGCTAGTTCATTATGCACTGTGGTAACAAAACATACAAAACCCTGGTTTTAAATTACTTTCAAAATTTTTTTCCACTGGTGAAGTATGCTCTGTAGGAAAGTTGCTATTAACTTGGGGAAAAAAAGGAGCTGAAACCTGCTGTATTTTGAATGCGCCTCTTTCCTTGTTAGGCCAACAGAAATGAGAATATAGAAGTTATGGTTGAAAAACCACACGAATAATTGTATTTTTAAAAATTCATTACAGGGCTGGGGATTTAGCTCATCGGCATAAGCACCTGCCTTGCAAGCGTGCAGCCACGAGTTCAATCCCTGGTACAAAAAAAAAAAAATTCATTGCAGTAAAAGAACATTGCCATTTAACAAACCCCTCCTCCACCACCACCAAATACTCTCCCTTGCTTCAAATACACTTCACTCTTTGCTCTTGTCCCTTTTGGATCAGTTCTGGAATTCCTCTTTCTGAGGTGTGTTTACTTAGGCTATAGTGGCTGCCTCAAATCCTGAGCTGATTCACAACACTGACTTCTCCTGTCATTTTGATTTTAGGGAAGAGCTGGAGGACTAATGGTGCCAGGTCCAGTGAATATAAGGTAGATGAAAACACAGTCTCATGTTTTCAGATTGTAGCACACAAACTTCTGGAGACACATTTGGATCCTATCCAATTCCTATCAGAGGGCGAACAATACCAGGGACGGAACACAGACTCAGTGGCCTTTTCACCAACTCCTGAGCTCTGCCTGGCCATGAATATAGCATAAAACAGCTTTCTATCAGAAAACACTTGGCAGCAGCATTCGCCGAAAAAGTTTTTTCATGACTTGCATATTCTCACAGAAGAGGCCTCCAGAACGGCTTCAGATACTGCAAGAACAACAGGCTAAGTGTTTTCAAAGGAAATAGAAGTTATTTTGAGGGGAATTAATGGCAATGAGTCTTTTGCTGTAATGAAATTTTAAATTTAAACATGCACCCTACATTTATTTATCTATCTATTTTGGTCTTTTCGAGGAAGGGTCTCACTATGAAGTGCACGCTGGCCTTGAGCTCGCTTTGTAGCTCAGCCTGGTCTTGAATTTACAATGATCCTCCTGCCTCAGCCTCCCAAGTGCTGGGATTACAGGCATGTGCCACCACACTTGGCATCACTACACATTTAGATCGCACCTATAAGAAGACATTTTAACATATGATTCTGGACTTTATCTCTACAACATCCACAACACTATGCTTTAAAATATTGACAATGACCTCGAGTGTTATTTTTACTTGCTGAAAATTGCTTCCAAACAAATGGCTGATATTTACCCTCCAGATTTTTTAATAGGGGGGAGAAATCAAGTTTGGACTTGAAATCTAAGAGAGACAACTGAGGAGTACGTTCAATGATTCCAAAACAGCAGGAACATAATTGAAGTCCTTCAGACAAGGACATATTAAACATCAAAAATTGTACACATACATATTACACATACACTGTGACGGGGCGACATTTAACTATAAAAAAACTTCATATTACACATACATTGCAGTCACATTTCACTTTTTTCCTACCTGTAAATGCTATGAATTAAAATTCGGAATCCAAAACAACATGGAAATGCAAATTACAAAGCACAAGTAAATTGCTCTTTTATAATAAACTTCTATGAACCATCAATGTTGGTGTGCATGAGTTTAGAATAAGAAAAAAACAAAATGAACAAATCAGAAAGATTAATGAAGGTAAAGTGTTACACGTGACACATTTCTTCCCATTTCTTTTTTTGAGCCTCTGTGCTTTTCTGATGTGAAACTTGGAGGACATGGAAAGTGATGGGTATTGGTGGTGATACTAAGGAACTGGATGTTAACTTGAATTTCTTTAAATCTCCTTGCATTTGATGTTCATTAGACAATGGAAGGCAACTTGTCCTCTATGTTGTTCCTAATTTTTATGTTGCTTCAGTCTTTCAATTTGGGGCAATGATTATCAAAATCCCAAATACTTTTTCAAAAAGTCTTTCTAGTAAGATCTAACACTGAATAGGGAAGAAGTGGGAATTTTGAACATAGTTGTCTCCTCTTATTTATTGTTTTGCTTTCTGTGGTTTCAGATTATCTATAGATAATTATGGTCCAAAAATATTAAGTGGGAAATTCTAGAAAAGAACAATTTGGGGCTGGGGATTTAGCTCAGCGGCATAAGCGCCTGCCTTGCAAGCAGGCAGTTGTGAGTTCGATCCCAGGTACCCATAAAAAGGAAAAAGACAAAAAAAAAAAAAAAAAAAAAAAAAAGAAAAGAAACAATTCCCAAAGATCTCAAGCAAAAATATGTAGATTGAAAGGGAAAGTACAGAAAAAAGATACTCCATATAAGCAGTAAACAAAAGAAAGGCTATGTTAATTATCACTTTCAGTAACAAGTAAAACATCTGGCTGAGATCCGTAAGGACACTGGGAAAATGAAGAACTCTATGAACAATTAGACCCTGCAAAGTACACAGACATTCAGCTCAACAACAGTAGCACACACTTTTCTCTCAAGGGCACTGGGACATTCTCTAGGACAGGCCATGAGGTAAACTGCAAAACAAGTCTGAACAAATTTTTAGAAACAAACTAAAAAGGCACCTTTCATAACCAACAGGGGAACAAAGCTTCCTATCGATAGTAGAACAACAGGGGCTGGGGATTTAGCTCAGTGGCATAAGCGCCTGCCTTGCAAGCAGGCGGTCGTGAGTTCGATCCCCGGTACCGATAAAAATGAAAGAGACAAAAAAAAAAAAAAATAGTAGAACAACAAATGGAAACCCAACTAACACACAAAGCTTCAGTAACAGACTAGTAACCAATAAATCAAAAAGAAATCACAAGAGACACTAGAAAGCACTCTGAAGGTCAGAAATGAACATGCAACATACCCTAACTTATAAAGTGACAACAGTGCTTGGAGGGAAATATATGGATATAAACACTGCGTTAAAAAAAAAGAAAAACATCAAAGCATTAACAACACAACATTTTGTGGAACTAGAAAAGAGAAAAAGCAAACACAAAGCTAACAGAAGTGTCTTAGTCTGTTGTGTCTGCTATAACAAAATATCTCAGAATAAGTATCTTAAAAACAACAGAAGCTCACAGTTCTAGAGGTAGATGGGCCCCAATCAAGCTGCTGGCTGATTCAGTATCTAGAGAGAGCTCACACCCTTCGTTTCATAGATTGTTCCATCCTCACTTTGGTGGAAGGCAGTAACAGGCTACTTATCACTCTTATCATATTCAAAATCTCATGCTAATCATCTTCCAAAGTGCCTACCTCTTAATACTATCATACTGGGAGTTAGGCTTCAAGGTAAAGATCTCAGGAAGACACCAACATTCAGACCACGGCAGCAAGCAAGCAAGAACAGTGATCAAAACACCAGTGTTTAAAACAGATTAAATAGAAACCAGAAAAGCAATGGGACCAATATACCAAAAGCTTGCTCTTTGAAAGGATCAATAAAATTGACTACACTTTATCCAGAATGACAAAGAAAAATAAGACAGAAGACACAAGTAGGCATAAAAATGAAGGCATTCTCAAATTCAAGAGAAATAAAAAAGATTGTAAGATACAGACATGGTGGCATATGACTATAATCCTAGTAAGAATTGCAAGGTAATTTGATTACAAAACCAAACCCAAAATGAAATGAGAATCTTAGTGTCCCTGCTAAGCAGACCTAGCTGTTGGATGTAAGACTTACCTGGTCCACAGGAACACCCCCAAGGGCGTGATTTGTGATGTCCTCCTGTGTTAATCTGAGGAAGCTGGATAAAGCACCAAACACAGCAGAGCACTCCAGTCTGGGGCCAGGGACGGCTCCAGCGGTCAGAAGTCCTGCAGGCCCTCTCCCCAGACCCCCAGACCCCCACCTCCCCAGCCTCCCGGCCACCCTGGCCCCAAGGTACCTGCAGCTTCTTCAAGGCCAGCCTCTTCTTCATGTCCTCAAACTGGTTCAGGAAGTGGACCGCCCCCCTCCTGCTCTGCTTATTGTCTTCCCTGCGCTGTGTTCAGGTAGTATAGCAGCTGCAAGGCTTTAGCCTCTTAGTAACTGGCTTCTCCCCGCTGTCTTACCCAGCTGTTCCCTCCAAAGAAGCCCACCAGGCTGATGAGGCAGCCAGTGTGCACATGGACGGGGAATCTGATCTCCCTCAGATCGAGGGTCCAGATGCTGCCAGGAGTACAGGAGTGGCTTGGAGGGCACGCAGAGGTCCTGGTACTTGGCACACACTTTCCATTTTCCTGTACATTCAGAGTCTGCACCGCTTGGTCCAATCTTTTGACTTCTGCAAAGGATTCCTGGTCTAGCAGTGAGCTGCCCCCAGAGACCAGCAGAAAGAAAGCGAAGGGGTTCCCTTGTTCATCCTGGAGGCCCAGAAGCTCTCGCTGTTGGTGGAGAAACGTTGCTGCACTAAGTGCCACTCGTTCTTGGCCGGCTCCAGATCAGTGTGTAGTTCTCCTCCACGTCCTCCTCCTCCTCCAAGCCCACATACTGGAAGCCGGTGCCCAGGGCGGCCATGAGAGCAGAGGTAGAAGCAGGAAGACCCAGAGGTGATCGCCTACAGTCGCGCACGCGCACGAAGGCGTGGATCAGCAGTGCCTAGAGGCAGTCAGTGTGCAGGTGGCGCAGAGCGACACCAGGCCCTGAGGTCCCCGAGGCTGCTCAGCTTTCACGGGTCTGCGGCTCCCATTCCGAGAACTGGGCTCCGAGGCTGCCACCTTGCTGGAGCTGGGCCTCTCCCAGCTGGGCCCAGGCCCTCCCTCTGGCGTTGCCTCCTCGGGCTGCCATCCCTGGAGCCTGAGTTCTGGCTCTGCCTGCGGTTCAGTCGCAGGTTCTTCCTGCGGCTTCACCTTGAAGGGGTGAACTTTCATCCCATGGCCACTAAGTAACCGCGCAGGACCAGGCCCTGCGTGCCCCGCCATGTCTCCCAGGGGCAAAGGCTGGAGCTGGGCAGTGGCCCGACCTTGCCCTGAGCCCGCCCCTTCCCTAAGGGCCATCCCTTCCCCCAGGCCTGGAACTGTCCAGTACTCTGCACTGCAGGTGGCCCCGACTCAGGGAAACCCAGGCAGCCTGTGGGGATCCTCCGGAGGGATCTTGGTCTGCACACTGCTCCTCCATGATCGGTTCAGCTGACAGATCCTACATCCTGAGAAAGCCTTGAGTATGTGAGGTCTCCTGCTTCCTGTGGCCATGAATTAGGGTTTCCAGTTAGGGTTAGTGGTTATGTTTGGGGTTAAAGTTGGAAATTGGTTATAGGGTTAGCAATTAGGATAGAGGAAGAGTTTAGGGCTAGGGTTGGGTTGGTTTTAGGATCAGAAATAAGAGATATTTCAGTTTTAGGTTGGGTTTTTGCTCAAGGTTTTGTGGTGGGGTTGGAGTTAGGGTTAGGGATAGAGTTAAGGTTATGGTGAGGGCTTAAAGTTAATTTTTGGGTGAGGATCAAGCTTAGGTGTTAGGCTGTGGGCTAGGGTTAGATTAGATTTAGCATTTAAGTTTATGGCCTGTGTGATGCTTAATGTTATGGTTAGTTCATTAGGCTCAGGCTAGGGTTAGTGGTTAGGATCTGTGTTTAGTGTTAGGGGTTTCAGGGTTATGGTTATGGTTAGGATTAGGTGTAGAGAATATCTTTTGGTGTTGCAGAATAAATTTGGGAAACTTTAACTTTTGTATTCTCTAAGAGTTAGGGTTAGGGGTTAAGATCATAGTCAGTTAGGGTTACTGTTTGGGGTTAGGGTTAGGGTTATGATTAGCATTAGTGAGAAGGACTATCACTTGAGGTTGCAGAACAGATTGGATAAAGTTTAATTTATGTTCTCTGAGGGGCCCAAAGGTAAATCTTAATACTCTAAACAATGCCAAATAATGGTACTGGGTTGCTTTCTTTACTTCCTTTTTTTTTTTTGCTTCGTGCCAGCTGGCCAGGACTCACCAGTGGGCTCAGCATCAGGTCGAGTGCAAGTTCAGCCCTGGCTCAGGATGCTGAAAACCCTGGGACCGTAAGGTGGAAGCTGCTTGCTTTCTTGCCCGAACCCTGCTGTTTCCCACCAGGCTCCAGTCGCCCCAGCTTGCTACGCTGCAGAATGTTGCTTACTTCACGTTACAAGACAGTGCTTCCTGAGACAGTGCTTCCTGAATTAAGACCTGGCATTGTATGGCTTGCTTTGCTTGCAGGCAGCTGGCCAGGTCCTACCAAGTGGATTCAGTGTCAGAGAGTAAGTGTGAATTCAGCCCTGGCTCATGCACTTCGGTTGCTGGCAGCTGGCCAGAACCAATCAAGGGGGCTCCATGTCAGCAAGCCACTGCAAGACTGAGACCACATGTGGATGAGGATGGTGAAAACCCTGGACCTTGTTGGTAGAACCTGCTCAACTACTTGTCCTTCAGTCAGTGACCCAAATGCAAAACATAACGATATCCCTGACCCCAAAAACTAAAACTAAAACCTAATTCTGATACACTGACAGAAAAACTGACTCATAATCCAAAACTTAATACCTAACCCTAACACAAAACCCTACTGCTAACACTCAGAATCCTCGATGGGCCAGGTGATGGTTAGTGTCGGACATCGAGGGGCGAGCATGCAGGGAGATAGCGGTGACCCTGAGAGAGGAGTGGAGGCAAGCCTGAATCCCCTGGAGTGATCGGAATGATCAGCATGTGGATAGGGGCCCTGAAATGGAGGTTCAGGGAATGGAGGTTTGGGTGGATATTGAGAATTAAGAAAGTTTGCAGGAGGCCAAAGTACAATAAAAAGAAAGTTTCCATCATAAACTTATCTTAAAGTGGATTTTCAAGTGAGTTTTGGAAACATTCATTTCTGACGTGGCTCGAGATGCCATCTGTTATCAAGCAACCATTGATTTCTCAGGATGACTATTCATTATGCACAAATGTATCAATACAAACACTGTAGCAACTAAGTTACACTCAGCCGGGCATAGTTCAAATGTCCGAAAAACAAAAAGCAAAAACATGCTACCTAAAGTAAAATGACTGCCTCCAAAATGAATTAAATATTGAGGAAAGCTTAATAAGAGATATAAATACCTAAAAATGAAACCCAAAACCCTGCATGCACATTAAATGACGATGCCCATGCCTCCTTTGGCCGCCAGGGGGCACTCCTCTAAAATCCGAATCTATAAACTGATTGATCAGTGGATGCTGGATGGATCCCGGCCCAGCTACAGAATGTAGTCCAGACCGGTGGTGGGTCTAGACAATATGGGAGATGGATTGGTGCAAAACATTAGGGGTGGTTTGGGGTTGCTATCTTTGGTATGGATTAGATGAGGATTTGGGGTTTTGTGTCATCTGTTGAAGCTCCATTCCCATGTCCTTGAATGACGTTTGCCATCCGTCCATCATTCAGTCCGGGGACCGGCGAGGGGAGCCCTGTATCTGTCTGGGCAGGGAAGAAAGGAGACACTGTGTCTTTCTCTCTTGTCTCTGGTCTGCGCTGCCTGTTTAGGTCTGGCATCCCCACCATTCCGCTTGGAGCCCTGCCTCCTGGACTGTGGACAGAAACCTCAAACACTGTTAAGACATAAACCTAACCTTTCCTTCCCATCCCTTTCCCAACCCAAACTGTCTTTGGATGCCAGGTGTTGTCTCGACAATGACAGGCAAAGAACAGTTCGGAGCTGTTGCCTGAGGAACGCCAGCACTGGAACAGATTGGGTTGTTGCACAACTGTAGGGGAGACCCCTATCACAGGTCAGGACAGCTCAGGACAGCAGAAGGACTATGATGATGATGGAAAGCCTGCCGGTAATGATCACACTCAAAAGGTTTCTGCAGGGAAGAAAGACTGCATTGGGCTTTGGACTCCACCTGATGTGGTGGCTCCCAGCACTCGGGAGGCTGCAAATTTGAGCCTTGCAAATTTGAGACCAGCCTGGCTACAAAGTGAGCTCAAGTTCAGCCTGAGCTGCACAGTGAGACCCTCTCTCAAAAAGACAAAAAAAATGTAATATGCTGTGCTAGGATATAACAGCTACAATGATGAAGTCACTAGGTGACAGGAATTATTCTGCTCCACTGTAATGTTGGTTTTTTTTTGGGAGGGGGGACAAGAGTCTCACTGTGTAGTTCAAGTGGGCCTCAAACTCACTCTGTAGCCCAGGATGGCTCAAACTTGGAGTGATCTTCAGGCGCCTGAGTGCTGGGGTCACAGGTGTGCATCCCTACATCTGGGTCCACTGAATCTGCCTGCACCATCACGGCATGTGTGGGCCACTGCTGACCGAAATATTATGTGGTACATGCCTACATATAATTGCGTAAAAATCAGGCTGATGGAACTTATGGTGGTAGAAAGCCAATGAGAGGTTGTCTGCAGATGACATCAAGGAAGGCTGGATTGCAAAAGGTAGTAGGAAGGAGGGAGGGGAAAGGGAAGTAAAAAGAGGAGTTCTCTGCGTGTTCCAGCTCCCCTGCATGGATATAACCGTGGTGTGCTCCTGCAAACTGGTACTAATAAAAATGAAAAACTTAAAAGGCGCTAGGAAAGGTGTGAGATGGATGGGAATGTTTCTTACCTTAACTGTGGCCTCATGATGTAGACGTATATTAGAACTATTAAGCTTGGCATGCTGACTCAGTCCTGTCACTCAGAAGGCTGGGGCAGGAGGATCGCCACGAGTTTGAGACCAGCCTGGACTACACAGCAAGACCCTCTCTCAGAAACCAAAATGCAACAAAGCAAAACAACTCCCCCAAAACAAAACAGTAGTTTAAACATGTTTGTTGTACTTCTCTTTTTTTGGTTCCAGGGATCGAACTCATGACCTTACACTTGCCAGGCAAGCGCTTGTGCAGCTGAGCTAAATCCCTGTGCTTCTCTTGTAACTCGGTAAAATTGCA